TGGGGGGGTGCAGGGGTTTTATGTTCTGTGCTGGCGTTGAAGGGATGAAAAATTCAACGGCTGACTGGAGTTGATAAATGGACATGGTAAACAGGGACAAGGCTCCAGATAAAGCGGCAAAATCACTGAGATAATGAAAAGAAAAAGACATTTATGTAAAAGGATTGATTGCCAAGTTCTAAACTAAATTGGTGAAAATTAAAGTCAATAAATGGTCTGCGACAGGCAGAGACATTAATGCCCCTGAAACTTTAAAGGTCGAAAAAAAAGAGCAGGGGGTTGCTTTTGTGCCTCTTAAAAACAAATAGCGGCACAAGGCAACTGGTGGGGGGGCTCTGCAGAGACTCAGTGGGCGTGCGCATTATGCCAAAAGTATACACTACTTGCTACTTGCTCGCCAGACCATAACTTAATTGAAGTTTAATGTTGAGATAATAGCTGTTGGATTGGGGTAACATTAAAAGAAGCCTTGAAATAACATCTCGACTACAACAAATCCTCCATAGAGGCTGATATTTTCCGTTTCGCATTTATGATTAGCTTTGTACAGCCACTAACTTGGCAAGAATTCCCACTGAAAATCATTAGATGAGCATGTAGCTTTGCGATGCTTCGAGCAATCTCATTCATTCTCCCTGCAGCCCTGCTTTGGGCCTCTTGCGACTCGTGACTGCTTATCGAGTGGTTTTGTCTCATTGAAAATAGATGAGTATTAAATATTTGCATAGGGAAATTAGATCTTCACATAATACTTGTACGTCACCACGAGCTTGACAAAGCGACACGCGTTTCACCGATGCTGAATTCAGTAGGCTTTGTTGCATCAGGAATTTTGAAAGCGTGGCTAGTGTTAAAAGTGGGAAGCATCTTACCTCGGCTGGCAGGCGCTCTCAAAATAGGGCCAGATAAGCTCAGCGGGACACGTCACTGCAGATCATGGAGGAGACTCCTTGACTATGGAGCGAAAGGAATACAGCCTATGTGCTTCACAGACGCTCCGAAAGTGATCTGTCAGTTTACATCCAGTCTGACGGCAATAAACCTCGCTGGCATCAACTCTGCCTCAAACGTCATCCGTTTTTTGTTCCCTAGATAACTTCAAAGTTTGGAGTCCATTCAGTGCCCAGATGAAAGTTGGACAGTTTAGTGCAAGGGAGTTTGGTGGGTCACCTCTTATTAGTCCGGGGAGGCTTAGTGCCATGGCCTTACAATGCTTTCCCCACCCCTTCGTCATGTGCCGAGGCCACGCTCATTCACAGCCGAGCCCTGTGGCATGTTTGACCTACAAGGATATCCAATCATGTCTGCACTCTAAGAGATAAGATGCTTTCTGACACGCCGACTTCCTCCATTGGCTGATTTATCCGGTCCTGAATATTAGAAGTCGTTACCATCCAACAACAGATATTGTTGATCGGTGTCATTTTTAACACTTCATAGGTCAGCCCCCGGCCAGGCATTTCCTTCCTAGTGAGCGAGTTTCTATCAAAGCTTGGGAATGTGAAATCTTATCTTCATGAAGCATGTCTTTTCTTTGTTTGGAGGGTCAGTGTTGCCAAACCCGTTTTTAGTACTCTAAAATCACTTAAACACCTCGGAGCATGTTCAGTATAATAAAACCTTCATGCTTGGTAACTCTCACCAATAGGCACTTGTCCAACCAACAGACTTATCCATTTTTAAAGTATCAAAGAACGTCACTTTATCGGATATTTAAAAAGGAAACAAAAAAGTCATCATTTATGACAATTGTCTTCTATAAGTACAGTGTATGTACTTTTTCCTTCTGTTTATGTATAGTTATTTTTCTTTCTGAAACAATCTGCTCTGTGCTGGTTACCCTGTACTGCTCTAACACCTGCATTTCTCCTGTGCGAATCTTATCTTATTCTGTATACCTCTCAGAGAAGAAGAATTTCATGTACCGTATACATATTCATGCCACACGGCAGTTTGATCTTTAAATCAGAAAGTAATTGGTATTATATAAGACAAGCTGAGATCCTCCATCTCTGTCTCCCGATTCAATCCCTCGGAGGCAAGAACGACATGCTCTTGCATGGCGTCAATCGGTCCAGTACAAGTAACAAATCTGCTGTAACCTGCTCACTTCATCGCCCTAGTTGCTTTTAGTCATGCTAAGACTCTGGAAAGGATGGAATAAAGGCTTTCTCCATCTGCCTCATCACGTCTCAGGATGCCTACCTGTTGGAATGTTTTACCCCTGTGACTCTGAATTTCAGACATCTCATAACTTGATGGGATGTGTGTTTTACTGTTTGCATTAAGTCGTCTTGACATTGATTGACCATTCCACAATAGAGCTGCACTGAATAGACTCCAGCTTACCCGGGAGCCTGAACAGGGTAAGCCAAATAAAATGCATGGATGGATGAATTCCATACATTGTCCTGTAGTGCGGTGGTCCCCAACGTTTCATCTGCCATGGGCTGCAAATCAATATTTTCACTGACCTAGAAAAAGCATTTTAAAAATACAACTCAACATTTTGCTGAATAGAGCTGGAATTAGGGGGAACCTCGCGCTTGTTTCTCTTCGACAAGCCAGTCCCATCTTGGGGTGATGGGATGCGATGACACTTAAAGTGGGTTACTTATGTCCGGTCTACTCTGTCATTTTGTTTTGGTCACCGCCTTGATGTTGGAACTGGAAGCAAGATATTCAGTCAGGTTTTGGAGCAGTTTTGAAGGCTTCATTGCCTCATTTGTGAGTTTGCCACCAGAAATTTCGCACTGCGGGATTAAGGCAAGAAAATCACATTGAGTGATAAACCCAAATTTCAAGTTTGACTGCTGATATTGGCTTTTAAATGCAGCAGTTTTTTTTCTTGGAAGTTATCGGCTCTTTTTCCTCTCATTATCTCTCCTTTTCACCTTTCAGAAGATTTTTATCCACACATTTTTGCTCTTTTTGTGGGATACTTTTTTACTACCATATCGCGTGACCTAGAGAAGTTTTCCTTGTGAACAGGGGCACAGGCGGATGCATCTTCTTTTCAAAATAAAACTTCATTCAGACTCTGATGTGTAAAAATGTACATTCATTTTTTTTAGTCTGACTCTGCAGCCTGGTATCAAATGTACTAGTCCGTAACCTGGTGGTTGGATGCTGCTGCTGTACTGTCGTTGACAGAGACTCCTCTGTTGACAACGGTCCAGATACAGAGTATTATGTTTTTGAGATAATGAATGGCTGCAATGAGTGGCATAAGACGACAACGTCAGAAGGCACATTAATGCTGTGCTTTTCTGACAGTCTATGTATAGTGTCAAAGTGTTTTCCATACAAATATTTATCATAATTCTGGCTTTTATACAAACGTAGGTTGAAGACATTTTCCGACTTAAGTACAAATTCAAGTTACGTAGTCATTTGAATTTGTGGCTGAGACTTCTGCGCCTATTGAAAGAAAAATAAAACCAGGTTCCGACCCAGCCCACAAACATTCAACACTGTATCCAGTTTGCCATAATTTAAACTCATTAATATTGCAACCAGACACTATTTGCATAAAAAAAAGACCCGTGATCCAATTGTCTAACAATTTTTTTCTACAATCTCGCTTGGTGTAAAGAAGCTGTAAGTGAGCTTTCATAAACACTCATTTGCGACCTGCGGTTTGGTGTATTTGCAGCGAGTGTTTGAGGGGAAAAAAAGTCCATATAGCATTTTCTGTGGGATTAAAATTGATTATCTCAGCTAAAGACGGCTCCTATACAGTATAATCAGCTGTAAGGCGTCATGGCACACGTTCTCCTTCAACGTGCTGGTGTTCATTACTGCGCCTGAGCCCCCAAAGTGTGCCGCATGCAGCTTTTCATTTTACACTCTTAATGCATGATGTTAACTGGAGTTGGTTAGCAAAACAACACCCCGCCGCGTGAACGGGAAAGCAATAAACGCCGTACCGCCTCTGCAACTTTGACGTGACTGAGTGTGATTGTGCGGCGGCCAACGGAAAGATGCACTTGTGGGGCAAAAAGTCGGTGCCAATTACCTTTTAAGGTGCGTGCGCTACAAATGAAAGTGGAGTAAATCGTGTCGTGATGCACTGAGAGGAAGCCGGGTCCTTATAAGGGTCACATGCTGAATGTTTCCAAACTCAATTAGCTAAAAGTAAGGAAGCATCCATTCTGTTAAAGAGACTGTAGTGACAGGAGAGCTTTCACCTTACAGAGCACACTGAAGCAATAACACAATAACACACACTCACCAATAGTCATTATGTGTTTTTCTGTGTTTAGGAAAGGCTTTTTGCAGCAACACTGTCAGCGAGATACCGATCTTCATGGCATCAGTGCATAGGAAAGCAATTAAGAGGACTTTACTATGATGATGCATACGTTGGGTTTGTGTAACTGGGGTAAAAGTCATTCTAAACAGACTATTGAAGTTACATTTTGATCAGCTACCAAATAGACTTGCATTGGAATATGTGTCAAAAGTTAGCATGAAGGTTAACGTGTTTGATTGTACCTATGAGCTGTCTTTTTGATTTCCACTGTTATCCAGCTAGTAATTATTTCCAAGTTCGAAACTGCAAGGTATTGTTTGAATCACCATTGCTTGGTTCGTTCGGCAAGCCAAGGCAGCTTTATTTATATTGCACATTCCATACACAAAGCAACTCAATGTGCTTCACACAAGCAAAATCAAACAAAACAGACAGTTAAAGATATTCCGAAGCAAACCAGAAAAAAAACAATTTTGGCAGATAGTGAGGCGTCAGGATATTTTATTGCAATTCCCAGTTGAAGTTTAATGGCAAACGAAACAGAAAGTGCAAAGATAAACAATGACTCATTGTGTTCAAGTCCGATAGCTTAAAGTTAACATACAGTATAATGAGAAAGACCATAGTCAAATAGCACTCATATGGCAAGATTATTCAAGCAAATGGCTATTTGAACACAAATGGTGCAGCAAGACAAGTAGAGGGACAATTTAACACTACCCAGAGACATATATTATTTATCCTCTGCAAAAAACGATGAACATTACTACAGCTTACTGAGTTTACAGTAGTTGTGTATCTCTTCTTTGTTGGTGTCTGCATGACTCTATTACACTGTCCCTTAGTGCCAAGGTCGCCATCACCAAGAGCCACAATGGATTAATCACGATGCACAAACTGTTTAATTCTTTGCATTTTGTTTAATTTTTCCTGTATGAAGTACACTATTGTAAACAGAACACTATAAAGGCCAGTCAAAGAATGTACACATATTTTTTGTGTGTCCTGCAAGATGGGCATTCTGTTGCATTTGTATTTTGTTTCATTTTTATTTGTTTGAAGCATAACACTAAAAGAACAGATTGTCTTGTACATTCTACAGATTTTCAGGTCTTGACTGCATCTCAGTTTGACACACAATTACACAATGTAACGTCTATCTGGTGTGCAGAAGAAAAAAAAACATCTTGGAGGTCTTTGCCAGGGTGACATGTATCAAGGTGTTCATGAAGTTACAAAGCAATTTGGGGCCTGCTTTGTGAACGAGCCGAGCACATTTCAATGTTATCGCTGGGATTGTGAACGCTACACAAAGGGAGCACAGCGACACACACCAGTGGGCGCTACAAAGGCGAGCCAAGACAGCGTCGGAAGCGACAGCTCTTGGAAAGCTTCCTGATAAATACATCAGACGAATGAGATTTTTTTTCTTTTTAATCTTTTGTCTTATTTATAAGGAAAATGCATATATATATATATATATATATATATAGAGAGAGAGAGAGAGAGAGAGAGAGAGAGAGAGAGAGAGAGAGAGAGAGAGAGAGAGACCCACACCCACACACCCACACACACATTGCACTCTCCATCTAGTTTGGAATATTTGAAGCACCCCCTTTGTGCTGACAAATATCCGGCTTTACAATGCTCCCTGTTATAACATCAAATAGCTATATTGCAATCATGCTCAAGTTGTTTTCCCGTCTAGCAACATATTGGATTGACGGTATTTACTGACTAGATATGTCCAACTTTTAAAAGCATCTTATTATGTTGATGTAATGGACAGATGAAAGGCATTTTATTGACAGAGCACTTAGTCTTAACAAAGGCACTTCATGGCACTTGGCATAAAGATAAAAGGAGGAATTAAAATCAACAAACGTTACCATGAAACGGGGTTGACAAATACCGAGAACCAGAATAAATTGAACAGTTTCTCTCCAAGTGAGGAAAGACTGATTCTCCGATCTCTCTGAAAGATCATCACAGGC